TTAGCTGAAGGCCCTTCCTTTTCCAGAGCCCATAGTCTTTTTTCTTTTTACTGTAAGGACAAAGTATTGCAATTTGCCTCACAATTACAATCACATTGAGTTCTAAGATACAATTTGTAGGTGGGTTACTGGCTTACTTAACCTTGAGCACCATCRTGCAGGATACACCACTGTGAAAGAGGGACACACCTTAAACCCCCACCCCGAGATAAATGAAAATTAACTCACACCCTGTTAAAAAAACAGAATGTTCAAAATAACGAGGTGGTGAAAACTTRCAAGATCTTTTTGGTATTGTCTTGCAGTTCCTGAAAGGAACTCAGCAGCATGTGTGACCAAGTCAAAAAATGATTCATTGTAAAGCATATTAGTCTGTGCTTGTGTGAGGATAAATTTGTTTTACCCAAAACTGCTGGGCAGTGAAGGGGATTTCACAGAGGTGAGCCAGGGCTTAGTGAGGCAGCTCTCTGGGAAGAGTGAACAATGTTCCTCACAGGGTGATTCATTGTAGTGGGATACAGAGCTCCTGCCCTCAATCACACATGGGATAAATGTAATTACGGTTTCAAGTTCTTCTTGATGAACATATGACTGAATTTAGCTTCAAATAATGTTTTAAACTATTTGTTACTATTACTTTTTAACCTATATTTTTAGTTACTCAAGAAAATGCTAAGGTGTCACTGTTTTGTCCATATTCAAGAAGAAGGAAGGCTGTAAACTGACCTATAGTTGTGACATAGATGTCTTTTTGGAATTTATTTGGCATTCTGCAATKTATATCTCTGCMTTTTTTKTCTTTTTCTGTGGCTGTTCTTGTGCAATGRGAACTTGTAGCTCTATGCCTGTTAGGTTTTGGTTAAAAGATTTCATACAAGATAAGTGGGTTTCACATTTCAGAGAAGTCTGAGGCTTTTTGAAGGATACTACTGGGTTTTGACCAAGCACCAACCCCTGGGAAAATAGAACACGCAGAAGAATGCTGTCCTGTGTGTAGGTGTGCTGTCCATTGTCAGTGAGGTATCTGGTCTCCTGATATTACTACAGAAACAAATACCACCTTTAAAAGCCAAAAATGGTTTGTGGTGTTGAAGAGACTCTGGGCACTGCAGTTGTTAGAATGGTGCTGATATGGAGCTCTGCTGTCTGGATCAGTTTGCCCACAAACTCGACTAATATGTGAGAAATACTGCTTTAACTGATTTAAATACTGCTTTAAAGATCTAGGCTTTAACCTGCATTTTCAGCCTGTGCACTCGGGTATGCAGCATGTGGAAGCTGGAAGTTGCTGTCATTTAGGCAGATCTGCAGTGCTGCAAGTTTCTCTTTTTCTCACTGTTTTAATTCCTGAGTTGTAATGGCTTAATTACTAATGGTTAATGTTCTTGAAGAGTTTTATGTCTATTATTGTTGGAACATAAGACTGAGGACGATTGAGTTGCTTTATATTTCTCAGTATTTTTTTAATTTGAAGATATTTGGTGTATTTACTGATGGTTTGTCTTTTTTTGTCTCACACTTGTTGAGGTGGTGAGTTTCTTCATTGCTACAGCAAATAATTCAGTGTGACGTTCACTTGTCCAATCTTCAGCACTGTGGAGAGCATGAAGTGCCCAAGACAGCCTTGGGGTGGCCAAAGCTGTGAACCCAAAGCTCTAAAATGCCCCAGCTGAGTGCTTCTCTGTGCATCACCATCCTAAACATCTGCTACTGCTCTTCTGATGTATTCTCAGTGCTTTCTTCCAGAGTAAGAGGTTTGATTACAGAGAGGAAAATACCCAGGAAACTGTATATCATGTCATTCAACCCACCCAGAGATCCTTATCCTGAAGTAAACCTAGAGCATCCTCTCCAACAAATGGATTTTTTGTGTACTCTGGAAGAATTCAGAGAGCAGCCTGTCTGATGGGCCTAGAAATTATTACTGAGCAGAAGAYAATAGGGCCACAATTAGCCCAGTATAATTTCTGTGTGTCATCTTACATTGCTTATGAATGACTGGGGTTTTAGTTCTGTTTTTCCTTTTCTCTGACTTTGTGAGTGGACTATTTCCTTGGCTTGTAATTGTTTCTGTTTAACATTAGATGCCACATAGGAGTTGGGCAAAAGTTTCTCATAGATCTTCCCCCTTTCTTTCCTTGTGGTACTTTAAAAAAAAATTATTTTTGTCATACATCCATAAGTGTTTCTGTGGACATAGGGAGGTATAGAGGGTTGGTGCAGAACTGTAATAAGTTTTAGTGTATTGTCACAGGCATTTTGATTGCCASCACACAATTTTATGAGTGCTGAATTGCTTCAGAAAATTGTTAGTGTTTTTGAAAAAGTTAGTTATGATTCACATAAAGTCAGTATCTATGTAATGAGTGTGTAATTAAAGGATTAATGAAAATAATTATTTTGTCAAATGCAATTTCTCATGCAGAAGTTGCGAGCTGGAATTGAAAAGGATTTCTCTTAGGTCCCTGGTGGTACTGTCAGAAGTCATATGGGTGTGGGCCCAAGGTGGTTTGGTGGTGTGGTTTTGGCTGAGCTCACACTCAACAGACCCATAAAGGAGGCCCTGTTGGTAAAATSCAGCTGCCAGTTCTGTTTTTCCCATGCTCCCCAGAGAGGTGTGGTGGGGAAAGGAGATGTTCTCATTAGAGAGTCCAGTTTGTGAGGCAGTTGCTTCAAGTCTTTCTGGTCTTTATGYTCTTCCCAAAGATGACGCTGGCGTGTTTCTTACATAGTTGGGTTCCTCACTGGCTGTTGATGGCAGGTAAAAGGCAGGCAGAGTTTGTACCCTCTCTGTTAGGGGATACTGTCACCAGTCTTTGGAAAATTCTCCACTCATGGTGTGAAGGTGCAGTGTCCTGGCTGCCCACAGCATGATCTGCAGTGCACTGACCCCTGTTAACCCCTGCTCTGCTGCTCTGACAAACAGGAAAGATTGCTTGGTGAGAAAAATAAGGCTGCACACTCTTATCTTCTAACGAAGGCTGTTTCTCATGCTTGAACATAGTAGTGGGTGTTTTTCTGTGTTCTTTGAAATAGTTTATGGTCTGTAGGGCTGGCTGATCCCCCAGTTGGTTGCCGGAGGCCTGTGGTCAATGTCGTGTCTGAGCTGCACTGGAGACAAGAAGTGCTGTGAGAAAAGAGGGGAAACAGGACAGGGAGCTGTAGGGAAGTGAGAGACTGGGTGAGCACAGGAACTGTGACAGGAGCTATTCACAGGCTACTGGTTTTTTAAAGCTGTACTATTTATAGACCCTGGATAATTTGTGGGCTCCCACCATCTGATTTGTCAAGGATCTAGTTAGCCATTGACCTCAAGAAGGTTGGGATATCCAACTTTTAGTCAAATAGTATCCTGCTCTTGCCACAGGGTATGGTACTTCAGTCACACACTGTGCCCCTGTTTGAGGGGCACAGGTCATGCAAGATTCCTTCCCTGGGTGAAGTTCTGYAAGTCATGCCTGTTAGCTACAGTAGGGCACATTTCATACCCCCACCTAAGCTCCTGTCTGCTGGCCAGTTCCTTTTCATTCGGATTTTTGTGATTYCACAAGCACAAATATTGACATGGCCATAAAACATGAATTCCAGGTTGGTAGTTCAGCCTTGGTTCTGTGARATTCCCACTTTTGCTTTGTCCTTGCAATATCTAAATGGTATAATACTGTCTTCATTTTTCTCTAGTGTTTCTATTTGCCTATTTCCTACTTTTGGCTCCTAATTATTAAAGTAGGCATATTGCCTACTTTAGGTTCTTTTTAAGAGCTTTTGGCTCTTAATTATTAGAAGTTTCTGGACTAGTTCATGCCTCTGTAAATAAATCAAATACTCAACTCTGTGTGTAGATTGCCTTCTTGCAGGTGAAAACCCATTTTGGGATGACACCTCTGTGCACCATAAGGTTGTTTTCAAAAGGTTGTGCATAGAGCAGTAACTTAACTTTTTTCAGACTTAAGCAGGTGGGACAGCAACTATTTATCCCTCAAAGCTGCTGAAGAACTAAATTGCTTCAGAGGTGTCTACATGCCAGTTCTCAGAGGAATTCTGCTCTGTGTGGGACAGGGATGATGGCAGCCTTCTCTCTCCCCTGATCCCTGTACTGTGCTGAGTTCTTACAAGCACAGTGGGACCTTCTTTAGTGTGTGGTTTAGAAAAATAATTGTTTATGGGAAGTGCAGTGCAGTTACATGTCTTGTGCTTTGTGGCTTGGCCTACAAACCTGGAGATAATATCAATGCAAACYGATAGCACTGCTTTGTTCTCAAGGTGGGTTAAGTAGTTTTTGTTTACTTCTCTTTACAGAGCCCTTGACTTGCAAGGTAGAGCTAATGAGGATGATGTCTTGGCTCTGTGGAAATGTTTTGCCCTGTACATCTGCAGGGAGTTTGTTGTTCAGAGGAGACCCACTGACCCTTTCACAAGTTGAACTGTGAAAAGGAAGATGGGATCATTTGTGTCACCAACTCATATTCTCCTTAGTAGAACTACAGATAATATTACACTCTCAAAAAGAGAAACAAACCCACCAAAAAACCCCCCAAACAAACAAAAAAACTCCACCAAAATCACCTGATAGCCCAGTGGAAAAAGAAAATGTGGTTAAGATCATAAAGGCAACTCTGTCTTCCTTTTTTTGTCTGTAACTTCAATGGACATCTGCTGATCTGATTCAAATTCAGTATACAAAATTTTGGAAATATTTGTAGCAGCTAAAAATGTTTTCAACTAATTCATTATTATAATACTTACTAGAATAAATTGCATATTCTAATTATTGCTTCCCTTTTTTCCTTTTTGATAGCAGAGCATTTATGGATTTGCCATTCATTTAATTGTCAGATTGTGTAATGTGAATGTGGCACTGTAGTATTTGAAGACAATAAAAAGTACTGTGATTAATTAGGTATTTCTGCACAGAAAGTTTGGTGCYGCTTTTAAACCAAATACAAATTGCTGATTTTCTCATTTGGTCAGTTACATTATGTTGTGGTTCTTTYTTTTAGGTCACATTGAGGTCATCTCCCGGAATCTTCTGAAAAAACAAGAGTAATAGAAGAAAATGTTGAATAAAAGTATCTTTGCTACACAGTCAGACTGAGACATTGGAGTTGGTTCATTGGAGTAAGTATTGCAGGGTTGGGTGTGTTTTGGGTTGTTTTTTGTTATCTTTTCTTGTAAAGTCAGCATGGTTATTAGGCTATTATTGCATTTAACTTTGTTATAGTTGTATTAAAAAATAGGTGGGTGATGCTATACTCATTTCAGTTGATCCACTGGTAATGGATTCATGGATTCTCACTGAACCATCTTCCATCATGGAAGTAGTATCTTGTAAAATTTGGATGGGTTTCAGATTTTTCTCTTGGCTGCTCTKTATTGTGGCTATGTTTTTGAGTAGGGACTGGCCTGGTATAGGTGTCATTACATCTAAGCCTCTCTTGGCTGGTGAAAGTTGAAGCACTGCTTGTATTTTCCAGAGAATTTGAAAAGACACTTTTTTTTCTGTCTGTAGCTCTCCAGTCTGGGCCCTTTCTTAGTGACACTGATATTTTTGTTGTCACTGTTACAATATTTGTTACTGTTATAATATTCATCAAACTTACTTAAGATTTCAATTTATGGATCTCAGATACATCTTTTCTTCACTGTTTGCAGTTCACTTGTAACTTTTGTGAATTCTGGGCTGRCACGTCTCATTTATGATAAAAGAAGCCTCCCTACCTAATGCAGGGACTGTGGATTGCATCTTTTGCCACCAGAAAAATAAATAAACATTTAATGTGGATATGGTGTAATTCTTAATTTCTGTCTGCTTCATGTGCTTGAGACAAGATATGTAATCATGTTTCTGCCACTTTGCATCAGATTGTCAGATGTTTAAACATATTCTTATTAGAAACCGGGTTAAAAACAGCAAGTGCAAATTTTAATCATGCTGTGTGATTATGTGAGTGTAATTCTGCAGAGGTCACTGGAAATACTCCTGAATGCTTAGCTGGGAATGAAAAATATCTGGCCATTAGAACTGAAAGGGGTGAAAAGTGGTTTTAGTTTACAAGAAGTATATTTTGGCATATTGCTTTATTACCAAGAGGAAATGACTCCTCTTAGCTTCTTCTTTAAACACGGATGTGTATAGGGTCTGAAACCAAGTTAGACAATATAAACTTTTCATACTTGGTGTTTTTATCAAAGTGTTTCTAACTGCCAGAATAGTATATTTAGATTGACTGATTTCCTGCCTTAAAAAAATACTRTAAAATTTTCAATTAAATATGGGTTTAAAGAAGTTGTTTGTGTTAGTTCCCTTTCTCTAAGTGCTTGGAAGAAATGCTATACTTTTTAGTCAGCACATTTAAATTTACATCAGTTCCTGATCTAGGCCATATGTCAAGTTGCTGGTAAATATTCATGTGAAATGTTCTTGTAGCACCTGATTCTGAATTCTGACCCCTGAAGATTTCAGGAACTGTGTTGTTTGGAGTTATTTGTCTTTTACAGCCTTACTAGACAACACAGTAGAAATACAGGCACTTGCTTACAATGTCCCAAAACAAACAAAAAACTCTATTTGCTGCCTACACACTTATTTTGACAAGTTAATTATTAACTCTGGTAATCAAGTTACCAAAACAGATAGACAGTAAAGTTGAGCTCCAAAACAAATGAAGACTGTCCACTGGAGACAGCTTTAGTAATTTCAAATCATTATATTCAGGTTTATGCCAGACACAAAACTTGCTCCGGTGCTCAGTAGTCCTAAACTTGTGTTTCTTCCCACCTCCCAGCCCCTCCTTTTCTATTTTTTTTTTTTTTTTTTTTTTTTTTTTTTTTTTTTTTTTTTTTTTTTTTTTTTTTTTTTTTTTTTTTTTTTTTTTTTTTAGAGACTGAGTTATTGAGTACAGCTTAAAATTGAAAAATGTTTTGGACCCTTTTTTTTTGTTTTTAGTAGAACATTTGTGTGTACCTGTTTACATTTCAATCACCACAAACTATTTTACAATTGGATTTTTTAAATTAAAGTACTAAAAGCTTTAAAATAAAGTCTGAGTAGCATCTCTATTCACAGTTAAAAAGCCAGGTGCGCTTCTCATGAAATCATAGAAGCAGATGATGGATCTCACTGCTGGGGAAAAAGTCAGGCCCAGGATTGACTGCTGAAGGGGTGCTGAAAGCTCCAAGGGGAGCTGCATTTCTGGGATACTGTGGAGCCTCCATCCCTGGAGACTTGCAAAATTACATGTGCACACTCCTACACAACATGATTTGACTTTAGTGTTGGAGCTAATCTTGGGACCAGCTGACTGCCAGAGGTCCCTTTCAGGGTAAATGGTCTGTAATTCCTAGATAATCTGAAATACTTTTGGTCCTTATGGTGAATGGCCAGGGMTACTTTTTGCTTTATTACCATTAAGTTCATCACAAACGTGTTGCTTGAGTGGGATTTTTAGGATTAACTTTTTCTACAAAATGACACTTTCAACTTTCCTTTATGAATAAGTTCCATGAAAAAGGTATATAAAGTACATCWAAATATTTGCATTAGAGTTGATTGTTAGATTTCCTTCAATGCTTGGTCAGCATTGAATATTCCTGTCCATATAACAAGTGGCTGTGTAATGAGGGACATTGAAGCTGGTGTTGGAAGAAAAATAACTGCAAAAATCCTGGACAGATCATATAAGAAATAGGCCCCATCAGGAACAATGTCTAGCCTGATGAAGCATGTAAAATTTCTGTTTTCTTCCATTGAAGGGCATCTCTCTATCTTATAGGATCCATGGCATCTCTGTATGAGACTTAAGCACATCTGCTCATGTGTTTTGGTCTGTGTGCCCTCCTTGCAGGTGAAAATTTGACTCCTCATTAATTTTCCACTGGCTGTAATTATTTTACTCTTTCACCTCTCTCAGTAGATGCATACAATCTGTCTGCTGGAGAATAATCCTCTTTCCTAGAGGTTTTGATCAAAATACCAGAAATAATTGGAAAGTGAATATTTTAGACCCTGTGTGAAGAGGTATCTACATATAGGAAAACCTCAATTTCTGTTTTTAACGTTTTTTTCTAGTAGAATGTCATCCAGATGTAACATCTTAATAGCTGAAGGAAACAGTTGAGAGCTGGTGGGATTTGGTGGTCTAAATCTATTTGTAAAATTCCAAAGGAGAGGAAATAGTAATCATTTCTATGTTTAAATGTCTTATAAGTGGAATGCTTCCTTTGTGTTTATAGTGGAACAAAAAATTATTTTGAGAGGTAGAACAGACAAGGAAATACCAGAGTGCAGAACTAATACTGGTTTATTATTTCCTAGTTTTATTGTCAGATTATTTAGAAAACTGGTACAATTCTTTTTTAGCAATGGGGGTATAGGGCCCCTACAATTTACTTAGTACAATAAATCAATAAAAGCACAACTCCAGATTATTAGTGCATCTTTTTGGACTCAKGACTGAGACATTACGTAGTAGTTCTAATAATAGCTTGGGCTGTCAGAAAGCCAGGCCTTTAGGCTTTACTTTTGCCTGTTTTTTGAAATGTTCTTAAGAGCTGTCAAGTGGCCAGGCAGCCCTGAGGCTGGGAGAAGCTGTCACTCTGCCACTCCTCTGGCTTTTCTCTGCAGCCTCACCGTGCTGGCACAAGCTCGGTGCACCTTTATGGAAACAGCCTGACTCACCTGGGCTGAAATGACATCTTTGTTCTGGGTTATGCTTCAGCTCTTTCTCCTTTCCGTTCAGTCTGACTGTCCAGACCTCCTTCTTCCCTTGTGCCCCCTCCATTCACCTTGTTTGTTAAGCTTGGTTTTGTTTGTTTGTTTAAAGTATCCATGTGAGCATGTCGTCATTTAAATGTTTAGTTTATTCTTAGAACTGACCATACCCTAACATTCCATGCTAACCTCTCTCTAGTACATAAAGTATCTACAGTGCTCTRCAGTGTCAAAAGGGACTTATCTGGGCTGTGAACTCACCAGTTCTAATCTTTTCCTAAATCTTTAGTCTCAGTTGGCTGTCCTGGAGTGTGCTATATGGAATACATTGCTCCTCAGGTCAGGGGCCCACTCTGCCTGCTGCTATTGAAAATTTTCAAAAATGTCTAAGAGAGTTATTTTGAGATGTTTCTAAAGGTGAATCAACCAGATGATTTCTCACAGCCCAGTTGATGTAGAATACTGAATAACTGGCCTGGGTTTTTTTTCATTTGAGCTTTTCTCCTTCTTGTCTCCCCGACTCTGTTGGTCAAGGTGTCACATGAACTCTTAGTCACATGACAGTGCTTTTCTAATCTGCTGTTTTCTTCCATTCCTTTATATTCCCTCCCTTCTCAACCATGCAGAACTGCATTCCAGTGAGCTGAAAGGCAATGTCTTCTTGTAGTGTCCCCAGCTTCAGTGTGATCCAGTGGATGGATGCTTCTAAAGMCAATTCCACACAGTAATATTGAAATGTGAGTTCTTTCTTCTCCCTGCAACTCATGTTAATTGCACTATACAAAAAGATGGGTGAAACTATTTATATTTTAATGTGTTATGCAGGGATTTCAAGGTAAAGAAGAGGATGGTGGTAGTGAGAAGCTATTACATTACTGCTGATTTTTGTGTTCATTATGAATTATGTGCTGCCTGTGAGTTGTCAGAAGTCTATCAGAAGCCTGGGACTTAATTATCATGAATATTCTTTTGAGGGAGCAAAAGATGTGTGTTTTTTACCTGAGTATAAAGTAACAGGAATAAAGATTTTCCTTTTATCGTCGTTCAAGTCTGTAAGTCTTCTGAGTCTGGAATATCATTTTAGTCGTGTTGTTCTCTACATGTAGACTTGTTTTCTGGGGAAAAATGTTCTGAGGACAATCTCATTTGCAGCTAATTTTAAAACTAAAATTTTAGTATTCATTGAATACTAGAATAATTTTCATAAGAAGGGATGACTAGAGGTAATCTAACCTAACCATCTGTTCAAATGAATTTACTTAAAATTAAATTAAATTTTAAKTTGAAGCCAGTTAGCATGTCTACATTTTTTTTCATGCCTCTAAGTCCAGTGTAAGTCAATTGCAAATTCAGGTGCTCAGCATTTCTTGAAAACTGGGTCACTTTTATTTGGAGGCATTAATATCC